GAATACAATACACAACACAAAATTAAAGAGAGATGTTCCTAGACTGCAAAACTCCATTTCTTGACAAATATTGACCAAAATAATTATAGCTTTCCACACCATAAATACCACAATACAAAGAATACTAAACTTTATATTCAAGAATTACAGTATGATCAGGATCATAAGCTCTAGAAGTGGTGTGCTTTCACTCAAGACCTGAAAATATAAATGCATTTGTGACTCTTAAGATACTGGTAACCTGTTATACAGTCTGGGAGCTACATAAGAAAAGGCCTTCTGCAAATGATCTCCCAAACAATATAAAGCTCAAGCAGTCTAAAAGGGGTCCCCAGCAATCTGAAGAAACATTCCTGAGCCTGATGTAAAAGGTGTAAGCACATCACAAAGATACAGGAATAATATTTTGAGTAAAAGGACATAAATGCAACAAATGCGACATTTTATTGTGGCAACGTTTCACTCTCCTGGAGCTTTCTCAAGCTATTATAAACAATACATAGACAGAGGGTATCTATAGGCTTTGAGTGAGGTGCAGTAATAGTAGTAGTACAAGTAGTAGTATAGTACAAGTAGTGGTAGTAGTACAAGTAGTAGTAGTAGTACAAGTAGTAGTAGTACAAGTAGTAGAAGTACAAACAGTAGCAGTAGTACAAGCAGTAGTATTAGTAGTACAAGTAGCAGTAGTAGTACAAGTAGTAGTAGTACTCATAGTACAAGTAGTAGTAATTGTACAAGTAGTAGCAGTAGTACAAGCAGTAGTAGTAGTCATAGTACAAGTAGTAGTAGTAGTCATAGTACAAGTAGTAGTAGTAGTCATAGTACAAGTAGTAGTAATAGTAGTAGTACATGTTGAAAAGTCATGTAGTACATGAGAATGAAAGGTTACAAAAGCTATGGCTTGGATAGCACAAAAAATAGGTTGGGCAACTGTATTTTATGCTACCCAAGCCATAGCTTTTGTAACCTTTCTTTCTTATGTACCAGCTGACTTTTCCACCACATGTATAACTACTATTACTACTACCTCTACTTGTACTAAACCTCACTCAAAGCCTTTATATACCCTGTGTCCATGTATTGTAACAGCTTAACAAAACTCCTGGAGAGCAAAACATTGCCATAATAAAATGTCACATTAGTTGCACTTGTGTCCTTTTACTTAACATATTGTCGGTAATTTTACCAATATTAATACAATAAGGAGGTTTTGTGGGTGAGGGGCTTGGACTTCCAGCAAGCGTGCATGAGCGTGTTAGATAGGAGTGAATGGAGACGAATGATACTTGGGACCTGACGATCTGTTGGAGTGTGAGCAGGGTAATATTTAGTGAAGGGATTCAGGGAAACCGGTTATTTTCATATAGTCGGACTTGAGTCCTGGAAATGGGAAGTACAATGCCTGCACTTTAAAGGAGGGGGTTGGGATATTGGCAGTTTGGAGGGATATGTTGTGTATCTTTATACATATATGCTTCTAAAACTTGTATCCTGAGACCTGCAAAAGCAGTGATAATGTGTGAGTGTGGTGAAAGTGTTGAATGATGATGAAAGTATTTTCTTTTTGGGGATTTTCTTTCTTTTTTGGGTCACCCTGCCTCGGTGGGAGACGACCGACTTGTTGGAAGAAAAAAAAAAAAAAAAAAAAAAAAAAAAAAAAAAAAATATTTCAGCATGATTAATTGTTTTGTACAGATGGCTGACATTTAGGGTTAGGTGGATATGCAGAAAGCCCATTGTTATGCAGAGCATTTGGGGCAAACTTAAGCCCAGTTCTGAAAAATGGGTGGGGATATTTGCTGCATAGCTGGCCCCATACTAACAGGTCCTGCTTATACCCAACGCCTTCCATTTATATTTCTCCGATATATTTTCTGAAATTTTGATGTGCCCTGCCTCACCTCACTTTGTTTCGGTTCACTTTCACTACCCTATAACATTAACTGTTTTAATTTAAACAATGTATTAGGACGGTTGAAGTCATTTGGTGGCAAATGTTCCCCTGTATAATGATAACCCTAGGTAGTAGTTGGTAGACGCAACCGCCCAGGGAGGTCTACCGTCCTCCCAAAGTGAGTGTAAAACGAAAGCCTGTAATTGGTTTTCATGATGTAGGGTTGCTGGTGTCCTTTTTTTTGTCTCATGAACATGCAAAAATTTCAGGTACGTCTTGCTACTTCTAAATTACACTTAGGTCACACTACACATACATGTACAAGCATATACAGTGGACCCCCCCATAACGATGGCATCACATAGCGATTAAATTTGCATACCGCTTGCTTTAATCGCAAAATTTTGCCGCGCATACCGATTAAAAACCCGCTCCCCCGATTTCGTCCGAGACGCGTCCAATGTGCGGCCTGAGCCACGTCACATGTTCCGCCGGTTGGCATTGTTTAAACCCGCCAGCCTCCGCGGTAACATCCAAGCATACAATCGGAAAAATTTTGTATTATTACAGTGGTTTACGGTGCTTTTTCTGGAAAAATAAGTGACCATGGGCCCCAAGAAAGCTTCTAGTGCCAACCCTACAGCAATAAGGGTGAGAATTACAATAGAGATGAAGAAAAAAATCATTGATAAGATGAAAGTGGAGTTGCCTGGGCTCCGAGCTGGCCAGGTTGTATAATAAACCCCAATCAACCATCGCTACTATTGGGTGGTACAGCTGCTGCTGCTGCTGCACTGGGCAGCTGCTTTTGCACTGTCAGCTGCGCTTTTGTGTAGCATCGTCTGCTGCTGCTGTAAACATCGTCTGTTGCTGCTGTACCACCGTCAGCTGCTGTTGCTGCTGTAGCATCGTCTGTTGCTGCTGTAGCGTCGTCTGTTGCTGCTGTAGCGTCGTCTGTTGCTGCTGTAGCGTCGTCCTGTTGCTGCTGTACCACCGTCAGCTGCTGCTGCTGCTGTAGCATCGTCTGCTGCTGCTGTAACATCGTCTGTTGCTGCTGTACCACCGTCAGCTGCTGCTGCTGCTGTAGCATCGTCTGCTGCTGCTGTAACATCGTCTGTTGCTGCTGTAGCATTGTCTGTTGCTGCTGTAGCATCGTCTGCTGCTGCTGTAGCATCGTCTGTTGCTGCTGTACCACCGTCAGCTGCTGCTGCTGCTTGTAGCACCGTTGTTGGTGTGGCTTATTGAGAATACCAAGAAACAATTAACCCCAGAGGATTTGCCACCCAGGATAACCCAAAAAAGTCAGTGTCATCGAAGACTGTCTAACTTATTTCCATTGGGGTCCTTAATCTTGTCTCCAGGATGCAACCCACACAAGTCGACTAACACCCAGGTGAACAGGAAAAATGCCTGGAACTAGTGCTCATATTGGTGAATTTAAAGCCAGCAAAGGTTGGTTTTGAGAGATTTAAGAATCGTAGTGGCATACACAGTGTGATAAGGCCTGTTCTGGAAGAAAATGCCAAACAGGACCTACAGTACTCAGGAGGAAAAGGCACTCCCAGGACACAGTGTCTCATCAGTCATTGCTGCATCTTCAATAAAGGTAAGTGTCATTTATTCTTCATTTAGTAGAGTAGTACATGCACAATATATACTGTGCATGTACTACTCTACTATTGTGCATGTATCCTTCTCTTTGTGTGTGGGAAAATGTATATTTCATGTGGTAAAAATTTTTTTTTTTCATACTTTTGGGTGTCTTGCACGGATTAATTTTATTTCCATTATTTCTTATGGGGAAAATTCATTCACATACCGATTATTTCGCATAACAATTACCCCTCTTGCACGGATTAAAATCGTTATGCGGGGGTCCACTGTACGTATATACATACCCCTCTGGGTTTTCTTCTATTTTCTTTCTAGTTCTTATTCTTGTTTATTTCCTCTCATCTCCATGGGGAAATGGAACAGAATTCTTCCTCCGTAAGCCATGCATGTTGTAAGAGGCGACTAAAATGCCGGGAGCAAGGGGCTAGTAACCTCTTCTCCTGTATATATTACTAAATGTAAAAGGAGAAACTTTCGTTTTTCCTTTTGGGCCACCCCGCCTCGGTGGGATACAGCCAGTGTGTTGAAAGAAGAAGAAGAATATCATGAAGTGTTTGTCAGTATTGCCATACCATTCATAATCCATTGAGTAGAGGTGAACAAGGGCACAACTGAACATTCCAAGCCATACCAGAGCTCTCCTAGGTGAGCAAGAAGTAGGGACAGATACAACATATCCAAATTTAAGCCTCCTATAATCCCCTACTAGAAATTTTTATCTTTCTTTCAACACACCGACCGTATCCCACCGAGGCAGGGTGGCCCAAAAGGAAAAACGAAAGTTTCTCCTTTTACATTTAGTAATATATACAGGAGAAGAGGTTACTAGCCCCTTGCTCCCAGCATTTTAGTCGCCTCTTACAACACACATGGCTTACGGAGGAAGAATTCTGTTCCACTTCCCCATGGAGGTAAGAGGAAATAAACAAGAACAAGAACTGGAAATAAAATAGAAGAAAACCCAGTGGGGTGTGTATATATATGCTTGTACATGTATGTGAAGTGTGACCTAAGTGTAAGTAGAAGTAGCAAGACATACCTAAAATCTTGCATGTGTATGAGACAGAATAAAAAGACACCAGCAATCCTACCATTGTGTAAAACAATTAATATTGTTGCTACACTAATAAGCCTTCTACTAGTTTGACATGTACAAAAGCACCTGACAAATAAGGTACCCAAAGATACTAAACAGAGCTTGAAAACTCACAGGTAATTAACATGCATTGTATACAGATACACAAAATTACCAAATTTTGACTCAAAATATTTTAATTGCATGGCAAAAACTTCAAACTAATTTTTGTTATTCTTTCTTTCAACACACGGCGTTCCCACCGAGGCGGGTGCCCAAAGGAAAAACGAAAGTTTCTCTTTTACATTTAGTAATATTACAGGAGAAGAGGTTACTAGCCCTTGCTCCGGCATTTTAGTGCCTTTACAAAGAAAGGCTTACGGAGGAAGAATTCTGTTCCCTTCCCATGGAGAAGAGGAAATAAACAAGAATAAGAACTAGAATGAAATAGAAGAAAACCCAGAGGGGTGTGTATATATGTGCTTGTACATGTATGTGTAGTGTGACCTAAGTGTAAGTAGAAGTAGCAAGACGTACCTGAAATCTTGCATGTTCATGAGACAGAAAAAAGGACACAGCAATCTACCATCATGTAAAACAATTACAGGCTTTCGTTTTACACTCACTTGGCAGGACGGTAGTACCTCCCTGGGCGGTTGCTGTCTACCAACCTACTACCTATTAATTTTTGTTATATCAGTATATATGCATGCAGCAGGCATATGTGAGGGTGTTAGATAGGAGTGGAGACAAATGGTTTTTGGGACTTGAGCTGTTGGAGTTGAGCAAGGTAATATTTTGTGAAGGGATTCAGGGAAACTGGGTAGCCAGACTTGAGTCCAGGAGGTGGGAAGTACAATGCCTGCACTTTAAAGGAGGGGTTTGGGAAACTGGCTATTTGGAGTGACATCTGAACTGTTATATCTGCAAAAGAATATGCATATTAAAAATGCAAAATATTAATAATATTACTAATGATTAACAAAAATATAAAAAATATTGCACACTCCTATAATTGCAAAATTATGATTAATAGGCAACAACTTATCAAAACATGATGAGACAAAAATTCTAGTTTTCAATTCAACACCTACAACCAAAATAGACTCTCCCTAAAGACATACAAGTCAATATTGTTACCAAAACTTGGAATGAGCCATGTAAAACTATCACTACAGTCAAAGTATCATATTCACACACAAAGAAAAATTCTGTGATGGTCAGGAAGTGCTGCATCAGGCAAGCTCATTTCTGCAGTTATGAATTCTTCAGCCAAAGACCAAATTACAGGATTTATTTATCTACTGATCCAAACGTCTGAAAAGACTAAGCAATGGATGCTCATGACACTTACTGTCAATGCATACTGCAGGTTACATCTTGGAGAAGAAAATGAAACTTACAGATACCTGAAAAGAGAGTAAACAATTTATTTACACTGATGTGACATTTCTTAAGGGAAATGTTTACAATCTTATCAAGTAGCAGCAGCAACAGAAGATACACTCACAATGAAAACGAAAGAGCAAGTTCTATAAAGTACTCTACATTTACATAAACAAACCTAAGCTCTTACTGCTGTCATTGGACTGGCTCAAAGAAAGAGTTAATTCTGGGAATTTTTTTTTTTTTATTTATTTTTAATTTTTTTTTATTCCTTTTCCCAAAGTAACACTGTCTTTGTTTTTTCTCTTCCCATCTCCTGGCTTGTTTACTTTGTTAATGCCTTCTACCTCCACTTGCTTCTTCAAGTTGAAAAGTAGTCAATGCAACAATATATCAAAAACCTTTCAGTCTAGGAAGAAGATTCCCACCCATTCCTCTTTCTGTCTGACCACTGTTTTATTTACTCTGATATAAATTTCATAAGCAACAACATTATATTCCAGAATGCATGCAGATATTGTGAGAAATTTTGATGTTTCTAGATGTTCAATATCTTTTCCTATACTCTTCCTTGATTATCTGTATTATACATCACCTTTATTAGGCATTATATTGTAGTTTAGGGCTTTCCTGACTTCTTAAATTTTTATTACATTTGCTACCTTAATCATCTGGCACTTCACCAGTCATTAATAATTTCTTAAAGATGTGAAAATGGTGTGTACAGTATTTTAGCACTCAATATTTGTGATGACACTCCATCAGGTGCTGATGTCTCTGATGTATCATGTTCCAGCTTGAGTCCCCTTACTTCCTCATTAGTAACTTCAATGCTTGATAGTTCCATGCTATCTCTGGTATGGGCCCTTGCTCATCTGCAAACACTAAGTAATCTTCTTGAGCTCGTTGAATACCATTTTAATATACCCAGTAAATGTTGCTATTTTCACTTGCTCCTGTTTAGTCATTTTTCTTCTGATTTGGCTACAAAGTAATATTTGGTTCTGTCTGCCTAGAGCAATGTATTCATTTCAGACTTCTTTTTTAAACTTCCCTCCTCATTCAAAATATTTCTAACTTCTTGGTTAGCTTTCCTGTTTTTTGAAATCGGTATCAGTCTCAGCTTGTGTCATGCTTTATTTTTATGCATTTTCACTTTAATAATTAAACCATGGTTCATCTAGCTTTTTATTAACTCCTTCGCACGATACTACAAACTTCATAATTTCTCTGCCCTTCTGGTTAAAATTTACTGTCATTTCTTGAGGGGAATATTTCCAGAATTCATCATTCCCTGTTCCTGATCCAGAAAATTACCTGGAGTATACCTAGAGGGGGTTTCGGGGGTCAATGCCCCAGTGGCCCAGTCCGTGACCAGGCCTCATGGTGGATCAGGACCTGATCAACCACGCTGTTACTTCTGGCTGCACATAAACTGAGATACAAACCACAGCCCAGCTAGTCAGGTATTGACTTTAGATGCTTGTCCAGTGCCTTCTTGAAGACAGTCAGGGGCCTATTGGTAATCCCTCTTATGTATGGTGGGAGGAAGTTGAACAGTCTTGAGCCCTGACACTTATTGTGTTGTCTCTTAGCATACTGGTGGTACACCTGCCTTTCATTGGGGGATGTGTTGCATCTCCTACCAAGTCATTTGCTTTCACAGGGAGTGATTTTCGTGTGCAGATTTGGAACTAGTTCCTCTAGGATTTTCCAAATTTATATTAACATGTATCTTTTTCCCTTCCATTTCAGGGAGTACAAATCAAGGGACTTCAACCATTCCCAGTAATTTAGGAACTTTTACAGTACCTTTACAGTAATTTCTCTTGGGCATTAACCTTAAATTTTCCAATTCCTCATTTTTGTGTTTACTTCTCCTTTTACCATGTAACAGAAAATAAACACAGTAATCACTTGTCCCATCCCAAGAGGCTTTCTTTGTTCCATTTTCCTTGTCAGTTTGTTACTAGTACTTAAGGAAGTTCTGCATTTCTTCATATCTAATTATTTTCGATCAGAAGTACTTTATTAAGGAATGTTCATTTGGTCAAGTATGAAGGGGGTATGGGGCTTGGGGGAGGGGAATTCCTGAGCTCTGCCTAATCCCAAAATTAACAACAACAGCTAAATTTCTGTAGATATACCAAAAGAAAGAAACTCCCTTCTGAAATTTCTTCCGATATAATCGTGAAATGGAGTAGAAAGTTGAATAACCAATAACAAAAAAGTATAACCTAATGTATATACTTTATCTACAGTACATACACAACAACATTAAGACTCACCATAGGCGATCAACCAAGTCATGGTGAGGGGGTCCATTGGTAATTTCGCCAGTCATGTATGCCAGCTTATGTGCAAACATACATGGGCAGGTACACGTATAGTCCCCTGAAACAACATTATATATTGAAAATAGTAAAATGTTTTTACAACAAAGTGCTCTGGCAGTAGTGTTCTGCACAAACATGCTAAAAATAAATATTTAAGAAATGTGGTACAACAACACTTGCTGCAAAGGAAGACTTTATTACAGATAGCATTTTGCTTATACAATTGTCTTTTATCAAGTCATAAATGGAGATGAACTCGAATTTTTATGTCATGAAAATATACAAGAAGACTTTTGTCCAACTCATTAATTACAATCTGAATTATCTTGAAATTTCTATCTTACCTATTATTTTAAGCTTCCCCATTAATACCTAGTACTGTATCAATTATCATAAAAATTCCACAACTATGTAATCTTTCATTGCTGAGTAGTTATATTGCTAGCCTAAGTTCACCCAAAATACTGTGCATACTATGGGCTTTCAAATTAATGTATATTTATGCATAATGATTGGAAATAAAACAATTTTATTATTATTACTGAAGACAAAGCAAAGCAGATACTCAGCAACACAATGAAGAACACTGACAACAGCCAACAAATATGTTGGATTTGACAAAAAGGCTTCTACAGTTCTATTAGTCTGCAAGTTGGTGAGTTGGAAGCCATTCCAACTCACCAACTCCTTGACATTCAAGGAATAATGTCAAGTTAAGGCATTCATGGTCAACACTCCAACTTGTTCATAATCAAAGGATCTCCTTCCTAACTGGTCATTGTCAATTTCAAGTATCCAAAGCTTGTAAGGCATAACATTATCATTCCTGAAGCAATAATGATGTTTTAAGAGGAATATGCTACTTTACTTTCTAGGCATTTGAAACATTTGTTTCTTGAAATCTTTTTCTAACACCTTATATGTTATATTCATTAGGAATATAAATTATTACACTAATAATAAATGCAATGCAATGATAAGAATAAAATGCTGAGTACATATTTGGCAATTTAAGTACTGTATAGTTAAAACTGTTGTTGTAGTGAAAATTGTTATTTTTTACTTTCAGTCACTGAAGAGAACAAATTTGGGTTAAACTGTTTATGTATATGAACCTTAGAGGTTAATTTTTAATTTCATCATAAAAGATACTTTAATTGTCATGTTTAAGTATATTAACTAAGATAGGCATGCAATAGTGATGAGAGATACATTTACAGAACCCAATGAACTACCTTGAAACAGTAATAGGAAGCTGCTCTCTTCCTTGCAGTCATGTATATTCGCATATTTATGGTATTTTTTAAGGGGTAAATTGGGTATCTTTTCAAAAAATATACTGACATTATTCATCAGAGTAAGCTGCTGGAAATACAATACATCAACTAGGTTCATCTAGGGTGGCAAGAATGAGAGTTGAGCATAACCCTTGGCTGGTAAGGATGCACTTCTTGCCCATTTGTGTATATAACAGATTGTTATAGTTTATGATTTTAGTCAAAACAAAAGTGAAAGAAAAAACTAAGAGAAATTTACTACAATTGTAGCTGTTATGATATTAAGAGATTCAATTTTGTTAGGAGGTTAGAAAGCACTGAATAAATATACAGGTCACTGGCGTCTTTCAAAAAACCAGCCGTATCCCACCAAAGTAGGGTGACCCAAAAAGAAAAACAAAAATTTCTCTTTTCAACTTTAGTAATGTATACAGGAGGAGTTACTAACCCCTTGCTCCCGGCACTTCAGTCGCCTCTTAAAACATGCATGGCTTACGGAGGAAGAATTCTTTTCCACTTCCCCATGGAGAAAATATACAGGTATTAACAGCAATTCTGAAAACTGGTTAGTGACATCTCATGTCCAAATTACATTGATAAATATGTAATCTTTACCTGCCAATTGTAGTACATATGGCAAAGTTTATATGCCAAGCGTTGCATGTGGTCAGTCTTCAAGCCGCTGCTGTCCTCTATGATATTAAAGGATGTCGGACTCACAGTTCCTTCATTAATAGATTGAGATACCAAGAAAAAGTCGTACCTATTTGGGAAAGAATTTTTTTTTTTTTAACAGGCCAGCTGTCTCCCACTGAGGCAGGGTAACCCAAAAAGAAAATACTTTCATCATTCAATACTTTCACCTCACTCACATAACCACTGTCTTTGCAGAGGTGCCCAGATACAACAGTTTAGAAGCATTTTATAAAGATATATAACATACCCCTCCAAACTGCCAATATCCCAAACCCCTCCTTTAACCCTTTCGGGGTTTCGGCCGTACTAGTACGGCTTACGCCCCAGGGTTTTTGACGTACTAGTATGCATAAATTCTAGCGCCCTCAAATCTAGCAAGAAAAAGCTGGTAGGCCTACATATGAAAGAATGGGTCTATGTGGTCAGTGTGAGCAGTATGAAAAAAAATCCTGCAGCACACAGTGCGTGTTTTTGGTTTAAAACAGCAACTTTGCACTGCATTTTCGTATGGTATTTATTGTTGTATTCTAGTTTTCCTGGTCTCATTGTACAGAATGCTAGGGTGTTCGGGAGAGGGGTGGGATTAAATTATGGGGAATCAAATACAAAATGGGCATTGACACAGTTATCTTTTGTTGATGATACTGTGCTTTTGGGAGATTCTAAAGAAAAATTGCAAAGGTTAGAAAGTTGAAAGTGAACATAGGAAAGAGTAAGGTGATGAGGGTATCAAATGATTTAGATAAAGAAAAATTGGATATCAAATTGGGGAGTAGTAGTACGGAAGAATTTTTTTTTTTTTTTTTTTTTCAACAAGTCGGCCGTCTCCCACCGAGGCAGGGTGACCCAAAAAAGAAAAAATCCCCAAAAAGAAAATACTTTCATCATCATTCAACACTTTCACCTCACTCACACATAATCACTGTTTTTGCAGAGGTGCTCAGAATACAATAGTTTGGAAGCATATACGTATAAAGATACACAACATATCCCTAAAAACTGCTAATATCCCGAGACCCCTCCTTTAGAGTGCAGGCATTGCACTTCCCAATTCCAGGACTCTAAGTCCGGCTGTATAATAATAACCGGTTTCCCTGAATCCCTTCACTAAATATTACCCTGCTCACACTCCAACAGATCGTCAGGTCCCAAATACCATTCGTCTCCATTCACTCCCATCGAACACGCTTATGCACGCCTACTGAAGTCCAAGCCCCTCACCCACAAAACCTCCCTTACCCCTTCCTTCCAACCTTTTCGAGGACGACCCCTACCCCGCCTTCCTTCTACAGATTTAAATGCTCTCCATGTCATTCTACTTTGATCCATTCTCTCTAAATGACCAAACCACCTTAACAACCCCTCTTCAGCCCTCTGACTAATACTTTTATTAACTCCATACCTTCTCCTAATTTCCACACTCCGAATTTTCTGCATAATATTTACACCGCACATTGCCCTTAGACAGGACATCTCCACTGCCTCCTCACTGCTGCATTTACATCCCAAGCTTCACACCCATATGAGAGTGTTGGTACTACTATACTTTCATACATTCCCTTCTTTGCCTCCATAGGTAACATTTTTTGACTCCACATATACCTCAACGCACCACTCACCTTTTTTCCCCTCATCAATTCTATGATTAACCTCATCCTTCATAAATCCATCCGCCAACACGTCAACTCCCAAGTATCTGAAAACATTCACTTCTTCCATAATTCTCCTCCCCAATTTGATATCCGATTTTTCTTTATCTAAATCATTTGATACCCTCATCACCTTACTCATTTCTATGTTCACTTTCAACTTTCTACCTTTACACACACTCCCAAACTCATCCACTAACCAGTGCAATTTTTCTTTAGAATCTCCCATAAGCACAGTATCATCAGCAAAAAGTAACTGTCAATTCCCATTTTGTATTTGATTCCCCAAAATTTAATCCCACCCCTCTCCCGAACACCCTAGCATTTAAAGATTACTAAAAAGAATAAGAAGTGAATGTTTTCAGATATTTGGGAGTTGACGTGTCAGCAGATGGATTTATGAAGGATAAGGTTAGTCATAGAACTGATGAAGGAAAAAAGGCGAGTGGTGAGTCGAGGTATATTTTTTTTTTATTATTATCACACTGGCTGATTCCCACCAAGGCAGGGTGGCCCGAAAAAGAAAAACTTTCACCATCATTCACTCCATCACTGTCTTGCCAGAAGAGTGCTTTACACTACAGTTTTTAAACTGCAACATTAACACCCCTCCTTCAGAGTGCAGGCACTGTACTTCCCATCTCCAGGACTCAAGTCCGGCCTGCCGGTTTCCCTGAACCCCTTCATAAATGTTACTTTGCTCACACTCCAACAGCACGTCAAGTATTAAAAACCATTTGTCTCCATTCACTCCTATCAAACATGCTCACGGATGCCTGCTGGAAGTCCAAGCCCCTCGCACACAAAACCTCCTTTACCCCCTCCCTCCAACCTTTCCTAGGCCGACCCCCTACCCCGCCTTCCTTCCACTACAGACTGATACATTCTTGAAGTCACACTGTTTTGCTCCATTCTCTCTACATGTCCGAACCACCTCAACAACCCTTCCTCAGCCCTCTGGACAACAGTTTTTGTAATCCCGCACGTCCTAACTTCCAAACTACGAATTTTCTGCATTATATTCACACCACACATTGCCCTCAGACATGACATCTCCACTGCCTCCAGCCTTCTCCTCGCTGCAACATTCATCACCCATGCTTCACACCCATATAAGAGCGTTGGTAAAACTATACTCTCATACATTCCCGTCTTTGCCTCCAAGGGCAAAGTTCTGTCTCCACAGACTCCTAAGTGCACCACTCGCCCTTTTCTCCTCATCAATTCTATGATTCACCTCATCTTTCATAGACCCATCTGCTGACACGTCCACTCCCAAATATCTGAATACATTCACCACCTCCATACTCTCTCCCTCCAATCTGATATCCAATCTTTCCTCACCTAATCTTTTTGTTATCCTCATAACCTTACTCTTTCCTGTATTCACTTTTAATTTTCTTCTTTTGCACACTCTACCAAATTCATCCACCAATCT